TTGTTGTTGTTGTTGTTGTTGTTGGCGTAGTAGCCGTCGTCCTTGTCGTCGTCGTCTCTGTCGTCGTCGGCGCCCTACTCGCAGACGGGCGCGTTCACTGTGGATTTGAAATCCTGGATTGTTTCTGGTAGTGGACCCGAAGCACGACGGTGTGAACGAATTGGGGTGGTTTGCGTCGTTGTCGTCGTCGTCGATGGTCGTTTGTTTTCCGTGGGCCGCGACCCGTCGGTTGTCGACGTTGCGTTTGTTGTTGCGGTTGTCGGATGTTCGTTCGCGTTGCCTTATTCGTCGTCGACGTCGCCACCCCCGTCGTCGCGTCGCAAGTTGCATTCGCGGGCGGGCGCGTCTGCCTTAAAATTGGAAGATCGGAGCGGTCTTGGTTGTCAGCCCGAGGCACGGCGATGGCAAAATTAGGTCGGATTGCGTCAGGGCTGTCGTCGATGTTCGTTTGCCTTCTCTTGGTCGCCAGTCGTCGGTTGTTCTTGTTGTCGTCGTTGTCGTCGTCGCTGTCGTTGTAGCCCCCGCCCTCGTCGTCGTCGCCGTCGCTGTCGTTGTCGGCGCTCTACTCGCGGACGGGCGCGTTCACCGTGGACTCGAAATCACGGATTGGCTTTGGAAATGCAATCGAGGCGCGAGGGTTGGAACCAATTGGGGCGGCTTGCGTCGTTGTTGCCGTCGTCGGGGATGCTGTCTGTTATTCCGGGGTCGCGAGCCGCCGGTTGCTGCACACGCCTTCGTTGTTGTCGTTGTCGGTTGTTCGCGTTGTCGTCGTCGACGTCGCCGTCGCCGTCGCCGCGTCATTGGCTGTTTTTGCGGACGGGCGCGTTTGCCGTAAAATTGAAATCTCAGCGCGGCTTTGGTTTTCAACCCGAGGCATGGGAATGGCAAAATTAGGGCGGTTTGTTCTTGTCGTTGGCGCGCGTGGTCCTTCGGTTCTCGTTGGTCGCCAGTCGTCGGTTGTTGTTGTCGCCGTCGTTATCGTTGTCATCGTTGCCGTCGTCGTCCTTTTCGCCGTCGTTGTCGTCATCGCAGACGCGGTCGTCGCTGCGGGCGTCGGCGCCCACGGGGGGGGGCGGGCTCGTCTGCTTGAGAATTAAAGTCTCGAAGTGGCTGTGTTTTGTGTCCGGTGGCATGGCGATGTGCAAATGAGGGGCTTGCGTCGCGGCCGTGCCTCGTCAAATGTCGTTCGTCTTTTTGTTGGCTCTGGTTGTTGGGCGTCGTTGTCGCCGTCGTTGTCGTTGTTTTCGCTGTTTCTCGATGTCCTCGTCTCGTCGCCGTCGTCATCGTCGTCGCCGCGTTCGGCGCCCGCGCTTGCTGACGGGCGCGTCTGTTTGAAAATGAGGTTTGGGCGTGGTTTTGGCAGTCAAGGTGAGCTATCGGAGATGTTCACATTAGGGCGCCTCGCATTGTCGTCGTCGCGGCAACAGTACTTCGGCTTGCGAAGTCCAGGAATGGTTTTGAAAGTATTCTGGCGCGTGGTCCCGCGAATGGATGCGAGGGGGCCGCGAAAGTGGGGGCGGCGTTGAGATAGCGGGGGGTGGGGGAAGAGAAGGATTGCGAGGTGGCGACGAGGAATTGGAGGAGTGGGAGGCGGAGAAGGAAAAGGAGGGGGATGAGGCGGCGTCGGAGAAGGAAGAGGAAGAGGAAGAGGTGGAGGAGGGGGAGGAGGA